AATGCAGAGTGTCATGTTGGATGTTTAAAATAAAAGCAGGATTTAATTTTACTCTTTAACTAATACATACGAGAGTTTAGATTTTCTCATCCGTTTTACATTTCTATAATTTTTTTACTTAAGAATTTTTTTATTTATTTTTTATTCATATTCTGACATACAAACAAAAACCCCGGGAGATCTCAGCAACAATAAAAAAAAAAAAAAACTAAAAAATGATACACACAAAAACTAAAGGACAAACAAACTGGTGATGACATTGGGCATTACCGCTAATAATAAACCACAGTATGTAACCTAAAGATCTAAATACCACGTTGCCAAAACACCATAGCGTTGCACTTTTTGCCTTTTTCAGCCCATTAATTCTCTCCACCACCTCCTGCTGCTGTCATCCTGGTCCCTTTACCCACATTTTCCCACTCTCCGTCTGAGCTCCCACGTTTCTCCTCGGCTCGCTCCTCCCTGGGTGCAGACTGTCAGCTATAGGCGTCACCGTTCACATTCCGGCTGCCTTCGCTTCACGCCAACTGGCCAGAGCCCGGATTGGCATGCACGGAGCGTCTCCTGGAATGACCCGCCTGCCTGCGTTGCGCCCCTATTAAAATTCTTGTGCCAGATCCCCAATGAGGCGAGTGTAGCAGGGTCAGGCCGCTCTCTGGCCTCTCTCCCCTCGCCTGTCTAATGAAGAGGATGCCTGTTGGGTTCATTATTAAAGCATGGCTAATAACACACGCAGAAGAGGGCGATGGGGAGGGAGGGGAGGGAGAAATTCAGCGGCAAACAAAGATGGAAGATGCCTGGAGATTTCTGAGCAGGGAAGATTATTTAGATCAGCTCGGAGGCTCGTCGGGACAAACACATTTCTTACACTGTTTATTATTCAGGGATAACTTCCACTGTTACTTTTATTCATACATTTTCACTAAAGTTAACAGAGGGAATAATGGACGTCATGGTTGTCAATATAATAACATTAAAGCAAAGAAGAATGACACAATAGGTCCAACTCTGGTAACTATAGTCACATCTTAAAAAGGACTCAACATTTGTCTTTATCACAACATTAATCTATATATATATTTATTTAGGCATCACTTTTAGACAGCGACAGACCCTGATCCCAGAACACAGCAGCAGCACATGCAGACTATTGTTTGCAGTTGATAAAATCAGCCATTAATTGATTTGGAATTTGTGGTGGTTAGCACTCTCGCATCTCAGCAAGTAGGTCCTGGGTTCAAGTGGTGCCAAAGGATCTAATTCTCTGATGGTTTGAATTGAAGTTGTTACCAGGCCCCGGTGATCCAAGATGGCGGCCAATTCAAATAAATGGTTTGTGCTCAGTGGCGCCCCACCATGGGCACCGATAGAGTAGCGGAACTCCCCCATATTTGGGAATCCTCTGGTCCTCCTGGTTCTGTGCAGTGTGGATTCATAGAAAACCAATGGATTTAACAAGAAAAAAAAAGTTCAGGACGACAAGTCACTCGGGAGCCGGACTCGGTCAGGGGCGTCAGTGGCTTAGTTGGTAGAGCATGGTCTTAGAGCCTGAAGGTCGTGGGTTCGAGCCCAAGACAAGACCTACTTCACGACTCCCACTGATGACTGCTGTCGTTGTGTCCTTGGGCAAGACACTTAACCCCACTTTGCCTGAAGCCCCAGCTGAAAGATCTCAGCTCCTGTGGACTCAGCACCTGCAGGAGGATCAGTGAGGGGCTGGTGCTCTGTGGACTGGGTGCAGCTCTGACTGCCACCCCTGACCCAGAAATGGATTAAGGGGAAGAAAATGGATGGAGGACGACAAGTGACACTAAAATCCCACAGAAAGCTCTTTTATAAAAACTGCAGGTTCTCTGTCAGGTTCTCTGACAGCTGAGTGGTTTTAGTTTACAGTGAGTTCTTTGGGACAGTTTTCTGGGTACCCTAACCCTAACCAATGGGTGGGACGGCTCTAAGATAGTAACAGCCTATCCAGTTATTATAATAGCTCATTATTAACACACAGACACTCCTTATCGTCCAAACTCCCGCCTCAGCTCCGCAGACTTGACTCATGTAAAGTACGTACATGTAAAGTACGTGCAGCAGGAGGTCTGTGTGCAGTTAAGGGATTTCTCAAACTGCACAACATGTCCTCACATCCATCCAATCTGATGTTCTAAGTCTGGTTTAGAGCCAACAACAAAACAAACTTTTTGCAAATACTTACACAATCGTTAGTTTCATTTGGCAACCATTTTGTTTGATGGATGTGCGGTGTCAAAACTTTGACGTTTTATTAAATTTCGCTGCTGTGAAGAAAAACACTAGTCTTTTCAACAACCTAATTCTGAATTCATTTATCGCAGGCTCAATACTAATAGTAGAAAGGCATGGAATTTTGTTTGTGAGAAATGTACAATAGGATTAGGATGTTTTAACGGCGAGACCATTGATCAAGTGTATATCCAGGAGGAGCACACATGCAAACACACAACATGAACAGGCCTTAAAAGTACTTTTCAACCTGCACACAAACCAACAGCGGCTCTTTTCCTCCTGGGCCCGGGGATCAGAGCAGAACCCTGGGTCTACGTCGGTGTGTGTGCGTTGTGTAAATGTTGTGTGTCGCTGCTATGAGCTGCGATGCATCAGATTACCCCATCAGAGTCGACTGGTCCGACGAGGCCAGCGGTCCGACACTAATCCTCCTTTGATGAGTCCGGCTTCACAGGAAAAGCAGTGACATTTCGCACTAAGGCCGCCTCCCCTTCACGTCGCCACGCACCCCGAGCCCAGAGAGACCCGCTTTTATCCCGACCTCAGCGAGACCGGGCCTGGATGCAGGGGCTGTATTTGAAAGTTACTCACGGGAGACTGCGGTGACACTGGCTGCTGCTCAAGAACAAATATGAGAGGCTATTTCTGAAAGCTTTGGAAGGGTTTGTTTGTTAGCTTTCATTCATCTTACTCCGGTTAGAGTTTGGAGAGAGTACAGGCCGCATGAAGCTGAGGTAAGGATTTGGCTGTAATTAGCTGTGTCCGTTATTGCACAGATATGGGCTAATATGAATATATCGGATTGGACCTTTTTTATTTTCTAACTAGTCTTATTAGTGTAGTCCAGCCTACAGGTCGAAACCACAATGATACAACAATGAACAACAGTCAAGACATGTTGTAGCACAGTCCTACTTATTGTCTAAAAAGCCTAAACAAAGCTAGCCAGGTCTTACCACACCATAGTACTAATTTCATTTGGTACTAAATGTCTGGATTGTCTCCATTGACTCCGTTAACAGGTGGGAGGGGCTAACTCCTTTTGCAGATTGAAACCATTGGATCTGAGTTTACTGTGACGTATGTAATGAGCCCGAGTGAGTGAGGCATTTAGCATTTAGCCTAGCTTTAGCATTAGCCTAGCTTTAGCATTAGCCTAGCTTTAGCCATCTCCTTTGCCGCTAACAGAGCCCGTGGGGAGTAGAGCCACAACATCTTTGCTTCAATGACATTTACTAAACATTCCTCTTGCTCCGGCTTCAGTTTCTTGATATTTGGATTGAACCAGAACAGATTATTTTACTATCGCATTCTCCGACAAACTACAACCAGCAAATGTCACCTGATTAGATTATTTTAGTCAAAATGAAGTTAAGGTACGGGACACTTTACATTGAAATAAATCACATCAATTATAAGTATCTTTTACCTGGAAATCTATCCAATGGTTCTGTACCATCTCATACTGTCTCTCTACACAGTGGGAGATTTTGGTTTTGTTGAAAAAATGTATTTATTGGCCATTATTTAAGTATAAAAGTCTCAGATTTCACAGAAGAGCTTCACAATGTTTTATGGAGTATCAATATTTTTCCATTCTCTCCACAAACAGTGATGAGGAACCAAACATCACTCATCACATTAAAATCTATTGTTTTAGTGGTAGAACAACGCAGCACCTGGAGGAAACCTACACTATACCTATATTGGTCGAAAATGTTTTGGGAGTCATTTAAAAACTTTTTTTTAGTATAAAAATCCACTTTCAAACATTAGTGGTTATTTTGATTTTTATGGCAAATCTAGAACCTCAAATATATTTAAGGTTTTAGCACAATGCTGCTACATGTGTCACTTTACCGCCTGAATATTTCAATCAAAACAATCCAAAAGTAAAATGATTTTTGGTTAATTTTTTTCTGCTTCAAAGTATAATATCCATATTATTATTTCGTATGTCGAGAGGTTTAGCGCTCATGGTCATAGCTTCATCTTGTGGAGAAAAGCTGTATAAAACCCACTTCCTGTGCTCCTAAAAACCACACATTACATAACAGGGCCATCGCCGTGGAAACATGAGGTGAAATCTTCTCGGTTGGAGACGGACGATCGATATCCGCACAGGAACAGGCTACATTTATGAACTAAACCCGCTGTTGCTCTTCTGCGCAGGTAACTTGGCACCGTGGACTGATTTCTGAAATAATAAGACTTTAACAGCTGCCACAGGACGCCCATCGACCGGCCTCTGTTTAGGGTCACGGCGGGTACAGAAATTAGACCAGCGATCTTTGATGGGACTGAGGGTGACCCGGAGAACTACCCGTGGATTAATACACATGGTATTTATGTTTGTTCATGGTTCTAAAAGCTGTGGTAGCTAACTGTGTTTCTTTGATAATCCATGTTGTTTGCCCCAACAGGAGGAGTCTGGTTTAAGTAAAATGTTCTAGAACCTTTAAAGAGCATATTACGCTTTTCTTCAGGTTTCACAGTCCTATGCACATGTGTGACAACTTAAAACTTGTGAGATTAGAGCTATCTCTTACAAATACGTGACGTCACCTCAACTCAAACAGGCTGATTCAGAGAAAAGTCTGCTCGGGCCAAACAGTGCGTGACAGATTTACACCCAAAACACATTTTCTCCAAGTTGAGGTGATCTTAACACTTTTAGTCACTGACAAAAGAAGAAAAACAGCAGCTCCAAGTGGCGTCTGTGGGACCAAACCACAGATATGCTGGACTCGGGAGCCGGACTCGGGAGCCGGACTCGGGAGCCGGACTCGGGAGCCGGACTCGGGAGCCGGACTCGGGAGCCGGACTCGGGAGCCGGACTCGGGAGCCGGACTCGGGAGCCGGACTCGGGAGCCGGACTCGGGAGCCGGACTCGGGAGCCGGACTCGGGAGCCGGACTCGGGAGCCGGACTCGGGAGCCGGACTCGGGAGCCGGACTCGGGAGCCGGCTGCACGCTGTGATTCTCTGTTTCGATCTGTCAATCACCTCCCGGCTTTTAGTATTATTTTTATGTTTATTATTTTTGACAACAAACAGCATACTTATTGTGTATTGTTTACCCCGTTTTGACAAAAGCATTTAAAAAACAAGTAGATACAAAGAAAACAGGCTTCTGCGCGTCATATTGATCATCAGAGTGTAGACCCGAGCGTTTCACTGCCTCTCGAGGCTGAAGGAGACAGATCACTCTCTAACCAGTTAGTGTCCAACAGAAAGGATTGGTGATGATCAGGACACTTTAGCATTCTACAACATGTATGGACATTTTCTTCTGTGTGTGCTTTATATTCTTCATGTGTTTTAACTGTTGATTCTCTGACCTGTGTTGGTGATTTCAATGGTTTTGATAAGCCATCTGAGATGACTTCTGTTGTGACCTAGGGCTATACAAGAATACATTGTATTGTATTGTATTGTAACCAAAGATTGAAGGAATCAATGAATAAACTACTCTGGGCAAACAGTGTATGAGGCCAAAGAGCTGTGATCATGTTTAAAGCAGAGAAAAGTCAAAAAACGTAAAATGGGCCCTTTAACAAACTGAAAAGCTCTGGGGTAATTTTCTGACTTTGTAGACCGAGATCGGATTGGGCCGAAAATACACAAAAGTTTAGGTACCCCAGCTTTAACTGAACAAATTCAAAATAAAATGAGTCTCATCTTAAGTATCATTTAGTTTGAAGTACTCGGATATGTTTCTCTCACGTCACTGCGAAGTCTGGAAGTGGCGACACATCGGAATCGCAAAAGTTAATTATTTTCAATTTTTTTTTTACAAAACTATGAAGTATAGTAGATATGCTTTTTTGCATGATCATCAATCCAAAAAAATTATAATAATAATAATATATCTAAAAAAGGTTTAAATATCTCCAATTCATATTGAAAGTAGAGCAGGCCAGATGCCCATTGGTCATATGCGTGCCTCAACAGCCAATCACTGCTTTCTTTGGGCATTTCAGTAAATATTGAGCAAGCCTTTTTGGATGTGTTCGACCCAGATCATTTTGTGTAAAAATAATTGATTTTAAAGAGTTTTAGCCCATATCGCCCACTCCTAGATTTAGACAAAATATTGAATTGCAGTATTTTCTAATTGAGATGAAATTGAGGAGCGACAGTGGCTCAGTCGGTAGAGCATTGATGCACTGATGTCTGCTGTCGTGTCCCTGGGAAAGACACTTAACCCTCCTGTGGACCCAGCAGCAGGATCAGTGACGGGCTGGTGCTTTGTGAATCGGACTTTGGACCAATATCACAATTTTGTGATGTTCAAAGTAACAAATTTGTTCAAAGAAAAAAAAATCCACAATTTGAGAGTTCTTTTTGAGAAAGTGCACACATGAAGCGATTACAGAGATAGTTTTTTCTAGTCTGAAATAAAACATTGACAGAAATGTTAGATTTTTCTCACAAAATTCTTATCGTCAGCCAGACCTAAATAGATATTTAAAATGAGAAAACAATGCATCTGCTCAAAATCTACTCATCAAGAAACTGTTTTCCTAATTTCCAGTGATGTTTTGGTCTTGTTTTTGTTGGAAAAGAACTTAAACAATTGCAGTCTTTGCCGTTGGCTAATTGTGACCACGGAAACTGTGATTTCTATTTGATTGCGATGAACTCTCAGTAAAGCCGGTGTCTGGTGACGGCAGGACACAGAGGGAGAGAGAGTCTGTAGTTAATGTGTCTACGGCAGAGTGTGACAGAGTGAATCCGTGCATGTGGGCTCCATGTGGACGCTCGTGGGGCGCCAGATAAGAACCCAGCGCTACATCTGTATGCAGCTGCTGGGACAGAACCAGACAGAAGGACGTGCGGAGCGGAGTCATGAGAGAGCTGCCATTTACTTTAATTAATGATAGAAGTCGCTTTCTTACGTCTCCAGTGGGTTTTAACAGATGTCTAAAAATCGGGGCGTAAGCAAGAATCGTGACGGAGACGTTGCAGAATCTGTTGTGCGACGCTAACCGAATGGTAATTATGTGAAAAAGTCTTTATGATCCATTGAAATATTACAAAACCACTCTTTTCATTTGACTTTTTCCTCTTATATTGGTGTCTACTTTTAGACTAATAAATAAACATGTATATTCTTGTGTGTATACATCTATAGATAAATCTGTAACGCAGTGGCTGGGCGGCATGGTGGCTGAGTGGCTAGCAGGTCCTGGGTTCAAATCCCGGTCGGAACAGGGCCTTTCTGAGTGGAGTTTGCATGTTCTCCCCGTGTCTGCGTAGGTTTCCTCCGGGTGCTCCGGTTTCCCCTACTACTAAAAACATGCACAATAGGTCTGAATGTAAATGAGTGAGTGAATGGATGGTGTTGGGTCAGAGGCTTTGATGGTCCAGTGTGTTCTGGACTCGCTTCTGTCATCACCGTGTGTGGAAGGATTGGAACAATATCTGACTCTGAACATTGGAAAGTGCTTTGGGTCTGTACCTTGGGGTCTGTACCTTGGGGTCTGTACCTTGGTCTGTAATGTATGCTATATAAATAAACATTACTTACATTTAATTTGACTCTTTCCTCTTACATTCTAATGGGTGTCTTCTGATCAAAACAAGGCCATAGAAGGTCAATAACAATTCTTACAGATCTGTTTGTGAATCTCCTGTTTATTCCCCTTTACCAGGGCTCTCCAACCTTTTTCAGTCAGAGAGCTACTTTTATACAACAGAAGAGGCAGAGAGCTACTCCTTTTTGCTGTCATAATAATAATCTATGTAATAATTATGACAAAACATGGAAAACAGATGTAAATAAATACTGTATAAGCCTATATTTATACTTAAAATAAATATGTGATAACGCAAATCTGAATCACTAAAGATCATGTGTTAAATTTCTAAATCCTGTGGGGAGCTACCTGAAAGGGGCTGGCGAGCTACTGGTAGGTTGGAGTCCCCTGCCCTATACAATAGTGAACTGGGTCAATGGATATTTAAAAAACAAGAAACATATATATTTGATTACCATAAGAGTAAAAAGTCTCCACTTCAGTTTCTGTTATAATCGTCTCGAGTCGTGAATTAATGGCTCCTCACAAATAAACAACAAAGCAGCAATAATATTTTGGCATAAAACAACCTTGACTTGATTGGTTCATTAACAGAGTGATTAAGTGACTGAACAAATGTTTTAATGTCAGAGCGTTCTGAGCGTGTGCAGGTGTGAGGAGTGTGACTGCCTCCCTCTGGACGACAGAGGAACTGCACCAGCAGCACTACCATGGGAAGCTTCTGTGTAAAAACAAAATATATATTATTTTAGATATCTGTGTTGTTTTAATAAATATGAATGCGACAGTGGCTCAGTTGGTAGAACATAGGCCTTTGAGCCTGAAGGTCGTGTGTTCGATCCCACCACGAGACCTTCTCCCCCGACTCAATTGATGTCTGCCGTCGTTGTGTCCTTGGGCAACCCACTTTGCCTATACATAGTTCCCACATGACGTCACTACATACGGGGATTTGCCGACCCGGCGCCATTTGTGTTGGCATGCTGTGGGCAAAACAATAGAAAAAGAAGCTGAAACGTGTTAATGTCGTGATAAAGTTGAAAATGGTCATCTCCTGCTGGGTCAATGGATGTTCAAATCGTGCCGGAGGTTCCGTTAAACTTGGATTTTACAGTATACCCATCATTAGACTTCATGAATGTGAGAAGACTAAGCTTTTGTCAGAACAACGACGGAGGTTATGGCTTGCGAAGATAAACAGGCAAGAAACTCCCTCAAAACACGCAAGAATATGCTCGGAGCACTTTGTGTCAGGTGCGTATCGTATCTTATAATGTGTTGACAGACGTAATTTACTCAGTACTAACTTGTGTATGCTGATATCTGGTAACTTGAGAGTTTCATTATTTAGATAACTTTATTATGAGGAGGATCGGTGTCGCGTCCGAGGCTCTCGAGGGCAACGTAAATGTATTAAATAGATAATAATAGTTCTATGGTGGGCTAAAACAATGTTCACAAACAGCATTGCTTCTGTAAAAAGATCTGTGTCATAAAATAAACTGCTCTTTACGCCTGGAAAAATCAGTTGCCCACCATTCACCAAAACATGCGGTCAAAAACGCGGAAATAAACAATAACAGCAATCCAGAGTGTCCGTGTGGCATTAGCATTAATTAAATTAATTGTTAATATAATTAAAATAATTAAATGGAGCTCCAACTGGTATTAAATCTAAAGTTTTTGAGAAATGTTTGCATTGCTTGTTAATTTTTGCTGCATAATTTGATCAAATATGTAAAACATGTCCGTAGCACGTTAAACTGTGGTGCCATTGTATTAATATACAATTATTTGCTCAAAAGTTGCCCTTTTTTTCCAATTTGCGTTTGAATATCTACATTTATTCTCATTCTTCTGTTTAATGGAATGCACAAACACAGCAGCGTGCCATCAAAGATGGCGTCTCCGAGGAGGTCATGTGACATTCATTGGTCTGTGGGAACTATGTATAAGGAGCGCGGAAGCGATGTTTGCTGCTTGCCTTGATGTGTATATGTATGTGTGTAGGTATATGTATATGTGTGTAGGTGTATGTGTATAGGTGTATGTGTATGTAAATATGCATGTGTATATGTATATATGTATGTGTGTATACTGTAGGTGTATTTGTATGTGTATATGTATATGTATGTAGGTGTATGTAAATATGTATGTGTATAGGTATATATGTATACTGTAGGTGTATTTGTACGTGTATGTGTGTAGGTGTATGTGTATGTGTATGCATCAAACTGAAATGTCCCCATTGTTGGACGAATAAAGGGCTTTATTTTTTCTATTCTTGTTGAGTTGAAACTATCAATTGACAAACGTTATTAATCTTTAGGTAGATCCGGCTCTGGAGTTCTTTGAAATGTCGGTCTATGTTATTAGTCCAGTCCAGATTATGGTTCAGATTAACATCCAGGTACGAGTCCCGGGGCTGGAGTAGCAGAAACCCACCACTATCTGGGGTCACAAACCGGGGTCTGTCTGTGAGGACCAGGATCCACTTACACCAGTTACCAGTTATTTTAGTACCATGGACATTTCTTATTAAGATTTCAGTGTTGCATCAAAAGTTACAGAACATTAGTAATGTGTGCATGTAGATTTATCATAATGTGTGAAATCTAACCTGCAATTAATCAATGTCAGAGAAGAAGCCTGTCTCACACTTTCAGGAAGATTGTTCTAATCTAGATTATAACAGCATGAATCTGAAATGCAGCCTCCCCATGTTTAGTCCGGACTCTGGGCACTAACAGGAGTCCAGTCCCCACGTTAACAAAAAAGGCAAATGTTAGGAATGTTCTGGAATGGTCTTCAGGAAATGAGATAAAGTCCCTAAAGAGGATGAAACCCGACATGTGTGAAGGTGCCGTTAACTGCAGGTGGTTGTCACGGTTACCTGATGCTTCCTGGTGCTGGACCATCTGCTCAGAGCAACTCACAGGTGTAATTAGAAGTCATAACCACCGATACACTGGGCATAATGTGCCGGAACGATCCATGTTAGTCACACATAACATTTTTGGACTCTCCCAATAATGAAGATAATAAAACTGCTTCTTTTGCAAACCTAGATTATGAAGATTATGTGAAAAATGAGTCTTGTTTGTATTCAATAACCCATTCATTCATGATAATAAGTAGATATTATGCAGGAGACTAATGTGAAATTGTAAAATTGCCAGACATTAAGCCATACATCATATTTCTGTTCTTTTATTTCTTACATTTCCAGATACTACTTATACATACAAAAAAAAATCTGCAAATCTGTAAAACTTAAAACTGAGGCCAAGCTTAAAGGTTTAATTAGAGCTGAATCCGGACAAAAATGACTCGAATTGGACCATGCCATCAGTTATAGTAAACAAATACATAAAAGTTACACACACACACACACACACTTTAGCTGCAAAGATAAAACCTCCCCTCAGTATGGACAGAATCTGGATTGTAGCGACTTTAGAACCATCCTGTAAAAAGGTTTTTGAGAGACAAGAAGACGTCAATAGAATGCACTAGATGATTCTGTTTCCGGGTACACCCCCACCGTCAAGGAGTCAGATTACAACAGATGAGCATATTGAAAAACAAAATACAGCTTTGTCAAAAACACACCCGCTACACTGTGGATATGTTTACGTTTGTCATCCTTGGGAAATATGACCATGTTTTATCGTTTCCATTTCATTATTTTTTCTCTCTGTGATAACCACTTGCAGGAGTTTATCTTTACCATCTTTAACATCTCCAAAGCCTCTACATTGTCCCTGTCCAAACACATCTGAATGACTTCTGTCCCATTGCCCTCAGTTCTACCTGTCACACTCGACCCTTCACATTTACCGACTGCAAACAAGTCCCCGCTGATGCAATTGCCCCCGAATACAGATGATTTCCAGGCTAGATTTATGATTCCTCGACAAATAGGCCAAATGCTCTGAGCCTTATCTACAATTTCTTGGATTGCACATAACTGAGGAACTACGCACACACATACGATAGTTAAAATCCCTGCTTCGTGGCTTTTTATTTCCTGAATGAACTTCTCCATTCTTATAAACTCCAGGTTCCCCACGGCACGCCTGCTGCATCTCTATGTGGTCCCATTACAGCTGCAAAGCCTCCAGAGAGAGCCACTGAAAAGATCACTTCCATTCATACACAACGACTACATGGAGTGTGTGTGTGTGTGTCCTGTGTGGGTGTGTGCGTGTCCGTGTGTGTGTGTGTGTGTGTCCGTGTGGGTGTGTGTGTGTCCTGTGTGGGTGTGGGTGTGTGTGTGTGTGTGGCTGTGTGTGTGTCCTGTGTGGGTGTGTGCGTGTCCGTGTGTGTGTGTGTGTGTGTCCGTGTGGGTGTGTGTGTGTCCTGTGTGGGTGTGGGTGTGTGTGTGTGTGTGGGCTGTGTGTGTGTCCTGTGTGGGTGTGTGTGTGTCCTGTGTGGGTGTGTGCGTGTGTGTGTCCGTGTGGGTGTGTGTGTGTCCTGTGTGGGTGTGGGTGTGTGTGTGTCCTGTGTGGGTGTGTGCGTGTCCGTGTGTGTGTGTGTGTGTGTCCGTGTGGGTGTGTGTGTGTCCTGTGTGGGTGTGGGTGTGTGTGTGTGTGTGGCTGTGTGTGTGTCCTGTGTGGGTGTGTGTGTGTCCTGTGTGGGTGTGTGCGTGTGTGTGTGTCCGTGTGGGTGTGTGTGTGTCCTGTGTGGGTGTGTGTGTGTCCTGTGTGGGTGTGTGCGTGTCCGTGTGTGTGTGTGTGTGTGTCCGTGTGGGTGTGTGTGTGTCCTGTGTGGGTGTGGGTGTGTGTGTGTGTGTGTGGCTGTGTGTGTGTCCTGTGTGGGTGTGTGTGTGTCCTGTGTGGGTGTGTGCGTGTGTGTGTCCGTGTGGGTGTGTGTGTGTCCTGTGTGGGTGTGTGTGTGTCCTGTGTGGGTGTGTGCGTGTCCGTGTGTGTGTGTGTGTGTGTCCGTGTGGGTGTGTGTGTGTCCTGTGTGGGTGTGGGTGTGTGTGTGTGTGTGGCTGTGTGTGTGTCCTGTGTGGGTGTGTGTGTGTCCTGTGTGGGTGTGTGCGTGTGTGTGTCCGTGTGGGTGTGTGTGTGTCCTGTGTGGGTGTGTGTGTGTCCTGTGTGGGTGTGTGCGTGTCCGTGTGTGTGTGTGTGTGTGTCCGTGTGGGTGTGTGTGTGTCCTGTGTGGGTGTGGGTGTGTGTGTGTGTGTGGCTGTGTGTGTGTCCTGTGTGGGTGTGTGTGTGTCCTGTGTGGGTGTGTGCGTGTGTGTGTCCGTGTGGGTGTGTGTGTGTCCTGTGTGGGTGTGGGTGTGTGTGTGTCCTGTGTGGGTGTGTGCGTGTCCTGTGTGGGTGTGTGCGTGTCCTGTGTGGGTGTGTGCGTGTGTGTGTCCTGTGTGTGTGTGTCCGTGTGTGTGTGCGTGTCCGTGTGTGTGTGTGTGTCCGTGTGTGTGTGTGTGTGTGTCCTGTGTGGGTGTGGGTGTGTGTGTGTCTTGTGTGGGTGTGTGCGTGTGTGTCCTGTGTGGGTGTGTGCGTGTCCGTGTGTGTCCGTGTGTGTGCGTGTGCGTGTGTCCGTGTGTGTGTGTGCGTGTGTGCGTGTGTGCGTGTGTGCGTGTGTGCGTGTGGGTGTGTGCGTGTCCGTGTGTGTCTTTTGCCTTTTAATCAAAATTCTGTTTAGTGAGTTCATGGGTTCTTCCCCAAATACATCCATAACATTATTGACTGTGTGTTGACTTGTATCCTGTAAGATAC